TTTTTTTTTTCTTGGAAAAGGGGGACGGGGGAACTTCCCCCCCCCCCCCCCCCCCCCCCCCCCCCCCCCCCCACACACACACACACGCACACCCGCGATCCGCCTATCATAGGATGAGATATACACACATCACAGGATAAGATATAGTCACGTCAAATATTTGTTACTCCCTTTGATCGAAAACACTTAGATGGGTTGGCAACAGAATAGTTTCCCATTTAGGAGCTATTTTTATTTAATTGTGTGGTCCATTTGAAAGAGTAAATATTTGGCCAACCGCTTGATGTAACTTGACGGTCAAATGACAGGGATTGATATCACCAAGTGTTTTATTTCATTTTTTCTTTTCGGTCATTTCCTACAAAATCGATACCTTTATTGGTATACTTCATCACTTTTTTCAATACATACATTTTGTTGAGGTTACCTTTATTTATTCTATCATTTTAACTCATCTTTTCATACTTTCGCTAACTAAAATCAATTTTGGTGTGTTTTTTTTCTTTGTGGGATCGCATATGAATGTGACTAGTATCCCGTTTACGAGCACGCGTAATGTACGTTTCGTGTTAAATGTATCTGATACATGTAACTTGGTGCCTGTAAAACTTTGGGCCGGATCTTTTGAGCCGAACTCTCATAGTCTCGTTTAAAGATTAAATCAAATTGTTTAAAAGCTTTTTTTCTTGAAAGTGCATCTGTTGTATTTCACCTGTTCATGTTAGCTACAGTGTCGCCCAGAAGTGTATACACATTCTTTTTTTTTATCTATGGTAGTGTCTTTATTCTTATGTTCTGGGTGAATTTTTCATATTATGCAAGAGTTATGAACAAATTACAAAATGAGCTGTATAGAAGTTTTTAATGAATATAACACAACACAGTTCGAGAAGCTTGACGACTATAGGGACCCTTTTCCTGAGGTTCGTATCTGTGAGATACGTATTAACCAAGTGTATACATATGGATCATTGCCTTAACTCGAATGTCCCCAGTGCGACTCGCACCGTGTGCGCACTTTTGATATACACTGTAAAAGTTAGCCCCACTCTTGATGATGGGATAAAAAAAACTCTACCATAGTCAGATTTTTCTAGCAAGGCCTACAATGGCAAAGGCATTTATTCTGTTCGAGTTTTTTTGTCTCTTCCTGGCCGATTTCGCAAATACACCGTATGGCTCTGTGTTATATACCGGGCAATTTCAACGTTGGCAAAGTAAGGACTTTGGTGTCCCTAGTAACCATGTTTTCGACGTGCAACGAGTCAAGGAAGGAACAGTGAAGTGTCTGTCTCTCTGCACACGCACAGGTGGGTGCGTGGCGGTGAATGTGCAGTATGACGAAAGCAGTGACGTCATATGTGAGCTGAGTGGGGCGAAGGTAGCAGAAGCGGAGTTAGTAGAAAGAGCTGGATTTCAGTACTATGAAAGGGTAAGACCTGAAGAAATGAGAGATAAAACTATATTAAATGGAAGGATTTGTGTTTCCCTTTGGGATAGTTCTTTATCATTAACATTGAAACTAATTTCAGCTAACACGCACAAAGTATCCCATATGTTTAAGTAATAAAGTATTCTCGGAACTTAAGAATGTGAAAATTAGAATATCATACATAAATCTTTCTCTTTTTATTCATTATTTGAATATACCACACTAATCTTTTTCTCTATTATTCATTATCAGGATGGTTATATTTCGAGTCCAATATTATCATCGGAATGCCCTGCGAATTTTACCCAGGTGAACGGGACCAGCTCCTGCTACCATCTCAGCGACTTCGCTACTAATTGGACGGAAAGCCGGGCGTGGTGTCAGAGATCTGGGGCCGACCTCGTGGTCTTTGAATCAGCTGAAGAATACCAGGCTGTGAGGGCGGTTTTCGGTGAGGCATTGTGTCGGTCGTCACATCTAGCACATCGGGCCTGATAATGGCTGCGCCCTTTCCCCTGTTTGTTTAGATACGAACAACTCAAGACGAGAAATGTTGAAACCATCAAGGCAATCTTATTTTAAAATAGATAAAAGAAACGGCTTACAGGGCCGTAGCCTGAGCAAAATGCCAGGGGGGGCAGCAAGCGGACACGAGGGGGCGAAGCCCCCGTGGGGGGTGGGGGTGGGAGGGGGTGTCCCCCTCCCGCGGTGTGGAAAAAATTTTAAAAACTGTATGTATAATACTGCATTCTGGTGCATTTTAACTGTTATTAACGGCTCAAAACAGCCCTCCTAGCTTTGTTGGGCAAACAGTCAAGGTAAACAATAACCTGATAACAGCCTAGGGGATAGCTCCCTAAGGGAGGGTGAGCTTTTTGGCATGAACTGAGTTGGCTAAAAACAGTACACCTTTGTAAACAGATTGTTGAATGATTGTCTAGTGGCCATGAGTGCATTTTCTCACAGAATTGATACCAACTTTGCAATTTTTTTTACCTTTGCGATAATTTTTTTTTTTTGCACCTCAAATCCGGGGGGGGGGGGGGGGCAGCTGCCCCCACCCTGCCCCCCCCGGAGGCTACGGCCCTGGCTTAGCACAAATACCATTACGAAGGCGAGAAACATCCAAGTTCCTTTTTATCAGAATTCATTCATAAGTCCTACAGGTGTAATTAATATAGTAGCATATTTTAATTTTATTAAAATAATAATAAAACAATATGGACTGATAAAGAAAAATATCATGAATAATGATCTATCAGATATTACAACTAGTCTAGAATGTTGAATTTGTACTTATAATAAATATGAACATTGAAAGACATGAGAATCAATTAAATAATTATGTATATTAACAGTACATACATTATTAGAATACTTGATCCTAAAAGTATGCATCAAACCAAAATCTTAAAGGTAAGAAATGACAAACGAGAACTTGAATTAAGTTATTCTACTTTAATATCTATGAATTTCAGAGGTCCCGAAAGCATGGATAGGTTTACGGGATACTGTTGGGAACAGCAGCTGGCGATGGGTCCGCACTGAAGAGACTCCTGCGTTCACCAACTGGAATATAGGAGAACCCAACTTTCTTAATGAGCGATGTGTAGAAATGATTATTCAAGGAACTTGGAACAATGTACTTTGTAGTAAAGAGAAGAGATTTATCTGCGAATATCCCATATTCTAATTTGGTGTTTTAAAGGCGCTTACTGCTGGTGACTGTAAATAAGAGAACGAATGATAAATCTAGTGCTTAGCTTACAAAGTAATGAAGAAACGATCCGACGATCCGACGAACCTCAATTAAATCAGTGTATCATCTGTTCATTTTCTTACAGCATAAAACCCCAGCTTATCTTTCAAAAGTTTTAACTTTATTAAAATATCAGATTTAAGCTGTGAGTCGTTATTTGTTTGGCGAGCACCTCATAAAATTAATTTATTGGGATCAACGTTTTCTCTGTGATTTGAAAAAAAAAACAGTTTTTCATGTTAAGAATATAAATTATCTTTTTAAGTGTATTTTCATGTATTTTTACCTCCGCCAAAGAGGTTATGTTTTCACCCCTGTTTGTTTGTCTGTCTGTTTGTCATCAACATAGCTCAATAAAGTTATGGATGAATTTCGATGGGATTTTCAGGGTAGGTCAGAAATGGGTTAACTTAGAAGTGATTAGTTTTTGGTGGTGATCTATGGACCGTTTGATGAAATTTTCGGGAACTGTCAGAAGTGGGCCAAGGAACAGATGATTAGTTTTTGGTGGTGAGCCGGATCAATAATCAATCAATAATCAACCAATAATCAAAAAAAAAAAAAATCATTATAGAATAAAAATTTAGGGGTGAAACGGCATTGGGTGGAGACTTTGCTGCCTTGGCGGAGGTCTGCGCTCTCGGAGTGCTTTTCTAGTTTTAAATTATATTCTAGACTATTGTAATTGATCATGTTGTAGTGTATGTGGTATTTTCACTCATAATAAAATGCTGTTTTTTGAAAATTCGTTTCATTCTCAACAAGTTTGTAAAATTTGCATCTCGCTGTCCCGTCACTCATAACGTGTAAAAAGGAGCAAAAAAATATCGAACTTTTACTTTAAACTTAAGCTTTTGTTAATTTTTCCAGTTGGCCTACAAAAACATTGATCAATACAAGGAAACAAGACCGTTGCTGTATTGCTATAAGCTCAAGTTGATCAACTTGACAATGCCGTACTGGAAGCTCCATTGAATCGTAAAGAAATTTTGTTCGCTGTCATGCTATACTAAGCATATTCAGTTTACAGGAAATGTATTGTAGTCATAGTTAAAACTATTGGAGATCATATTATACGGACATTATATTTGAATACTGAGAGATGTAAAAAATGTGTATTAAAAGAGCGAATAAATAAGGCTAGGAGTCGGTAACAATACTAATGCCACATAAAAGAGAAATCGTTCAAAAACAAAGAACCTGTTAACACGAAGCAGTGTATTGTTTGAACATAGTTGACTACCAATCAAACCTGATTTTTTTAATCTTTAATCCGCCGTAAGATGGTTCACCAATCTTTGCTAAAGAGTTTGTTAAAACGCGCCATTGCAGTGACTGGAAATTACTCCAATCAGGACAAATCACTCTTATACTCTGACCAAATAAAAATGTTGGTCCCATAATCAGAGAGACAGAGAAAGAGAGTGAGAGAAAGAGAGAGAGGAATAGGCCTTCTAACCGTTGAAATATGGATTATACTAAAGTAAACGTACGTCTTACGATAGGGATCTGATATCTTACGCCAATCTCTAAATAGAAAGCAACTTGGGTATGTTTATTTGTATTGAAAGTTAAGATTGATAAATTTACAAAACGGAATAACTTTTATTACTGCATTAACTTTACACATTCAAGTCAAATACATCTCATCGTTGCAGCACTTAAGTTTCGGGAGTTTGATACCATATAAACTTTGTGCTAGGTTATCAAAATACAATATGAAAAAATAGCTGTAAAGAATGGAAACATTTATTCCAAGATGATAGCCCGAGACAGTTATAACGTGCCTGCTGTTGAACATTCGTGCACAGGGTATAATAAAAAAAAATACTCGGCATGACGTCCCTGATGGTTTACCTACCAGTAAAAACTGGTACGTAAGGTAAAAACAGAACAAAATGGGCATTGTCATTCTGTGTGCACGATCAAATTCACACCAGATTACAGGGTGTTCCCGTCGTGCTTCTGACCACAGTATCTGTCGGGAATCCATCTTGTCTGAACACACGTTTAATATAACTGATATTCACAAAGGAAATTATATTGAAATTTGCACCTGGCGTCGTTCCATGTCCCTCGACTAAGGATCATAGCGCACCGTTCGCGGGTGGAGCTTGGTTCTCGTCTTTTCCAGGCCGTGAACAAAGGAGTGTTCTCAGTGCGGACCCACTTCCAGCCATTATTATTTCCGATAATGTCCCGCAAACCGATCCATGCGTCTATGGGATCTGAAACAAATATTGATTTTAAACATTTTATCTATGGTTGGAAAAAAAATAAGCTAAGATAACCTGTAGTTCAGTGCCAGAGTGTAATCAATTCTTTTCGAATTATGACGTCATTATCTTGTGCTGCAAAGAAAATCTAATATGCGGTAAAGGAGAATAAAAGAAATGAACGAGCCGCATCAAACTTCTTACGGATGTCGATGAAAATGGTTTCTCAGCCGAGCTTAAAAGTTTTTTTATCTGTGTTGGCAGTAGGCCTGTGCAGTCAAAATTTGGTCATCTAAATAATTATCCAGTTTACGGGAAATCTGCTTTGGAATGACATCATACCATGGTAACGTTGTCTAGACATGGGCACAACAATGGTGGCAAAATTTGGGCAATTTTCGTTATAACTTAGAACTGTCCTGTAAATGGAGGGTCCCATTGGGGGTGGGGGGGGGGTAGTGATCACAGTTCAGGGAAAAAACATGTAAAATCATCAATTCACATATCACAATTAATAAATCTGTATTCATATCTCACTGATAATGCGCGTCGAATCCCTATCAATGACGAATCACCGGGTATAATGATTTTGTTTCAAGAAAGGCGAAGCATAAAAAGACGCACTCACGCGTCATGGGAATGGGGTGCTTCAAAGATCACGCTAAATAAATTGAACGTTTCACACATCGAAATTAAAATTGGCTTTCCCGGGTAATGAAAAAAAACCCAATGGACCCTCTCAGAACAGACGGTAAGAATACAGTGGCCAGGTGTGTTTGGCCAGTGGATTAGGTGAGACAATCGGCATTATTTTTTCACGGCGAAATGCGCTAGGTGTGACTATTGTCGAAACTCAGAATGTGCTGGTTATGACAGTCGTCACAATGTCTTACCAAAAGCCCCTTTCGCGGCCACATACTCGTTATTCGATTCGAACACAGCAAGGTCTGCCCCAGCTCGCAGACACCACGCCCGGCTCTCTGTCCAATCGGCTTGGAAATCACTGAGAAAGTAGCAGGAGTGGGTCCCAGGCACGTACGTGAAATTCGCAGGACATTCGGCTGAACCTGATCGTGAAAAGACAGTGATGAGAGGCCTTTGTACAGTAGGAATTGACATAGACTGGTTTGATCTTTTTAGAATGAATTCATTAAACAGAGGATTGGATTGAGTCAAAAGATCAGTTTTATGTGAGGTGCAAGCCACGTATGATTTTTGCCTTCATTTACGTACGAAAAAAATTATTGGGTTTTTAAGAGATTCTTTTGAAAAACTACTCTGTACATTATCTAACTTTTAAGTGTTTTAGTGGTCACTTTTGCCCCTCCCCCCCCCCCCCCCCCCCACTTCCTCCAGTACTACAGAGAACTTACATTCAGCCTCGGCACAAATCTGGTTCGAAATGTTGCCCACCTAAGTAAAAATGGAAAGGTATTTTAGAGATCACCGCCACTTAATATCTACCAAAATATTATATTTCACCTATTTTTTATTCATTTTATGCTTATATTGATGAAAAAAATAGTAAAATGACATAAACAACACAGAAACGCCCCATTATGAAATTCGCTCTGAGAAGAATGCGCAAAAATTAAATATGCGCCTATACAGTGGTCACGGCTCACGGCACAAATGGAGCGTGCATCAGTAATTTGACCATTTATCTTATTTTGTTTGAATTTGTATGCCATACGGATTAAATGCGTCCAACAAATTTACCTCAAATAAAAGCACAAATTCTGATTAAAGGTCGTAATTAGATTTTTTAAAAAAAGTATGCAGTAGGGGCCTACTTCTTCGAGAAAAAAAAATACAATCTGAAAAGATGACAATATCAGTTTTCACTGTTCTCATGATATCGCCAATCCTTACCACTTCTATATACTGAAACCCAGATCTTCTCACTAACTCCACTCCAGGCGTTCTAACCGCGCTCAACTCGCACTCCACAGCGTCGCCACGTTGCGTCAGCCTGCACGTTCACTGCCACGCAGTTGCGCGTGCTCATGCAGAGCGTCACGCATTTCACACTCCTTAACTTGACTCACGCGAAACACGTGATATCTGGGAACCCCACGGTCTCTGTCTTCCAGAGGTTTAAAGTGACCCGTATAGCAGGTACCTTGAGAAAAATATATGTAATCAGACAGGTAGATCCAAGAAACACAAATAAGCAGCGTTAAACGAATAAACGCACCTGTCATCTTATCCGTGATACATGTAAATGTTTTCTGATGTTTTAGCAGGGGTGTGACGAGATTACATCTTCTCTCTAACCGGTCTACAGTGTCTGTAAAAAGTGTGTATATCACACAGAGTGAAGAGTTGAAAACAAAGACAAATGTTTCAGACATGTATAACTCCATTTTGATCAATAAATAAAAGAACGAATGTGTCATATATATTTAACCAAAAATAAATGTGTAACTAACTCCTATATAAATATTATGCATTGAAGAATGTGTTTGTTCATTATTTATGAAAGACGCTGTACTTAGCTAAAACATTTAACAGACAGCGGAGGAGTTTTTCTTTCGAAACCTTTTGTAAATGTTGATTGAAATTTCCCGTTTCGGGATGAAATAAGCGCAAGAATAGTGTTAAAAATACTTGTGTATGGATTTAATCGTTAGATGCCAGTCCCTAGTTTCCGGGCAAAGTTTTCTCATGCACTCACTAACTTAGGCTTCATTCACATGCAATGTCTATTTTCTAAATTCTATTTTCTATTCGCGGTATATCTTATGATCACGGTCTGTGCCCTGAATATCCCGCGGCGTAATTACTGGCAGCGCGAGCCAGTTACTATAAGTTACTATAAGTAACTGGCTCGCGCTGCCAGTATTTACGCGGCGGGATATTCAGGGCACAGACCGTGATCATAAGATGCCGCGAATAGAAAATAGATTTTTAGAAAATAGACATTCCATGTGAACGAAGCCTTAGATTTGGTACTGGAGGATGTCTTTTTGTCTCCGAATACGATTGCTGAAACATGTTCGCATCCTATTTACATCAAATGATCCATTGCATATTCAATTATGCATATGCGTTATGTTTGAAATTTCGTTTTAGCTTTTATCTTTTTGACGCCTTTTTGGTTAAACCCATTCTGGATCAATTCACTCGGGATAACAATGACCAATGTTTGAGACATTACTTCATAAATAAAACAATTGATTTTTGTTGGCAAAGGTGAAGAATGAAAAATAAATAAATTGATGACACAAACAAAGCAAAATCCGCACAACAAAGAAATAATTTATCTGAGGAAAATGAAAAAAAAAGATGTCAAAGCAGGACATGCTATTGATTGGAGCATTTTGTCCAGATGTCAAATAGGTGCATGCTTTTTTCGTGTGTTTATTGCCAAATTATATATTGCTGTTAGATATCGTGAGAAAAGCAATGCGTAGACCCTTTGCCAAGTATGGCTAAGGTCCACAAAGACTAAATCAGCTGCAGAGTGAATTAAAATTTTTGAGTAGATTTTAAAATATAACAATCTTAATATAAACTTTTAAGATATGAATGATAACTATTTATATCCTTATTTCACGGTCATCCCTGAAAGCTATTAATCATACCCACGTTTCAAAATAACGTAAGACATCGGTAGACTGTAAGAATTCACAATGTCATTATTATGGCACAAAAGGAACAAAACTAGGATTTTTTTTTCTTTTTGGACAGAAAAGGTTCTTATTTAGGCTGCTTTTGTTCAGAAATAGCATTGGATTTCAATTGAAACAACATACATTGAAATATGTAATCTTCATTTTATGTTGAAGAATCCGAAGTCACAAAATCCCAAACTGCAAGCTTATTTTCTCAAAAGGGCCCTCTTTGACATTCAAGTGGAGAGAGAGAGAGAGAGAGAGAGAGAGAGAGAGAGAGAGAGAGAGAGAGAGAAGACTTGTTTTCTGGCGTAATGGACATTTCTGTCGACGTCGTACTTAGAATCATAAAGATCCTATACCTTTTAGAGGCCATTTTTCACGAGTGAGCAGTTCTGTGCAACGCTCTTAGAGCTCATTCCAAATGAAACTATCGGTCTGCGTAGATTGATCCAACTCCACGGGGACTCTCACTGAATACAATCAGTTTGATAATATTGACACGATTCCTCCTAGTGTTGAGTAGAATACGGAGAAGCTGGTGATAATGCAAGTGCGTTGGGAACAAAAGGAGCCATGTTCAATGGTTACACTGATTGCATTCAACGAGAGTCACTGCAAAGTTGGATCAATCTACGTAGACCGATAGTTTCAATGGGAATGAACCCAAATTCTTTTTTTTTTTTTTTTTTTTGGCAGGGGAAGTGAACTGATTACTTCATAAAGGTGTAGCAATCGTATGAGACATCAGTTCCTATTAATCAAAAACAAATTATATGGGTAGCCCGGTATATTTACAAGAGCAACAATCCTACGGATGTTCCATTTCATAATCTGAATTGTCATTTCCTTTCAATTAAGATGTCATAATTTGAAAATTGCTATTTCGGCGTTAATATGCATTCGGTTACTAGTTTTAGACCGATTATATCAGACCAGACAAATTTGAAAAGTTGTCCATATCAAGTTATCACACTCAACGGCATAGATTTAAAGTGTGGTCATTGCCCGCTTTGCTTACGTTAGACGAGGACTTCGAGTAGGCTAGACTTATATCTAAAAACAAACAATGGTTCATAGCAAGATGAATTCATTATTGCTAACACTGGCGATGTGCTTGATTATTGGGTGTTCATGGGTGAGTAGGCATATATATATATATATATATATATATATATATATATATATATATATATATATATATGATGTAATATAAATAATATATGATCAAAATAAAACCTGTTCAGTGTGTTACAGATTTTGAAATATTTTGCTGCTTTGCCGTGACACACACACACACACACACACACACACACGAGTTTGCACACACAAACAGAGAGAGAGAGAAAATTTAAGGTACATATGTACATCTCAGGCTGGAGATTTCACCCCTCTGAGGGTCCGCGTGGACAGAGCCGTAGTGGGAGACCCCTGCACTGTGACGTTAGAGTACGAGGCCTCCGCTCATCCTCTGTTTTCATTCCGAGCCACCCTTCCCAGCGAGAAACTCATATCAGCCAAAGGTACCATTAGCCTTCTTCCAATTCTTTTTTCTTTTTATTTACCCGAGTTTTTGTTACACCTTTTCAACTTCAATAGTAACTATGGGCCTATCTCTGCCAGTTTTGGAGATATGTGGTTGAAAATTGCAAATGTATATTAAATTTTTTTCATTTCCTGTTCAAATAGGTTCTTAAATGTATTTATTTATTTATTTATTTATTTTTATTTACTTATTTCTTTATCTGATGGCTTTTTCTAGGTGCTCCCGGTATGGTGGTATCCGACAACTTCTCAAACGGCCACGGTATTCTCCAGCTCCGGATTGCAGAGGTAAAACGAGAGCAAATCACTTGGGACTCCCCCTTTCAGATTCTAGCCAAATTCTTCGGCGATAACTACTACTGGAAAATAACCTTCAAATTCCGCGGACAGGAGGAAGAGCAGGTTCTGGAGATCCCGGACATCGATTACAATGAAAGACCACCAAAACAAATCAAGTTTCGCCTTGGAAAACCTTTTAGTTTGAAATGCGGGTTTAAAGTGAACGGAACTTTCGACTATGCTGGCGCTGTTTGGCGAAAATTCAATTCGCTTCAGTTCAGCAACGCGACCCGGGAAGAGAAAAGAAATAACCTAAACTATAGACCCGACAGAAAGAAGGATTCGAATGGCGTTTTGCACGTCGTCAACTCAGACAATTTCGACTCTCCTTCCGCCGCCGACCAATGTATGTGGCAATGCACAGCCGCCGTTAAAATGTATTTCACCATCGGCCGTACTGCGCAGATGGTCTTTCTTCTGGTCCACATCATATCCACGACAGATGTCAGTCTAGAAGATGCCCCACCCTCTTTCCCGGTTTTTGCCACGCCCATACCCCAATTAACAGTTTTCCCCGATTTCCCGGCCAGTCCAACCTACCCGAGAGGGGTCCTTGACGTGTACGGGCCCCGTTTTGAGAAACCTTGGTTCCTCGTGTTTTATTGCTATGGATACGGTGCCCCAAATCTGCGCATCTCCCTGTTCAGAAACGACACCCTGGTAACCAGGGAAACGGCGCCTAATATAAACCAGCTTTCTTTAAAGACGAGCGACTTTACGGACCGGATGATGTATTCCGTTGACTGCACTGAGCTGGACAAATGTCGAGGTCAGTTTCGATGTGTGGCCAATAATGGGGCTGGTGACACGCAGACCACACCCACCTGGGTGATCAAAGAGTAACCGGCATCTTCTGCACAGTCCTACGTAGAGCGACCTTTTGCCGCAACTGTCTGGTTGTCCTTTAAAACAAATGTCATCTGATTTTAGTGGCTGGCTTTTATTATTCTGTCTCTGTGTTATTTCGATTCTCTTTCGTGTTTATCTAACTGTTTTTCGCTGCCAAGAACATTAATATGATAAACAGATTTGGAGAAAAACTTTAAGACAAATAAAATAAGTTGACTAGTAGTTTGACTTGCTTTATTTATTGCACATTAAAAATAGTTATAGGAACATGTGAAATAACATGTCTGAAGTTAGTTTAGTTGTATTAGTGTGTAAGTGTCCTACTGCTGTACTGGTGACCGCACAGTTTGAATATGTGACATCAGAAACGAATGTTTTTATGTGTAAACAGACCCAAGTTCAGGTTTTTATGGTAAAATATAACCAAATCCCTATTAGTGAGGGAAAAAAACCCACAAGAAATCAAGTTTCAATTTCTTACGCAACATTACTGAATCAGAAATACGTGTCCCACTGATTTCATTGATAAAGTCTCCAAGTCGGGGTGCTTCGCGTGACCCCGTTACCGTTACTGGCGACGCAGCTGAAATCCCCCCGGCACTTCTCAATATCTGTTCAATCTATGCTTAAGAGGATCTTGTCAAGGAAAGCGCTGACCTTGAGTGAGACGCTGTAGATGTTTGGGGAAGTCGAGCTCGTGACAGGTGCGCCATTTTTATGGAGCGCTATCTTCACGTCCGGCGACCCATACGCCCAACACAAGACCCGTATGTACCATGGTTTGGTGACGTTGGCCGCCACCTCGTTAAACACTCCCTTAGGCATGATCCAGTCCATTTCGGGGAACATCTTAAGACGGGGAAGAGGGGGGTCAAACCCTGGGTTTTCAGCCGTAACATCCAAAACGTCAGTTGCAGTAGTAACCGTTATGGAGACATCAGTACTATACTCACCATATAAAGGGGAGTCAGGTTGGACTGGTGTTGTGACGTAAGCAGAGCATCGGTAAAAGCCCTGATCGGCACGTGACGGTGACGTCAATGTACCCGTATTGCGGCACACAGTCGAACCGTCTTTTCTGTGCCGAATTCTTTCGTTTCCAATCGACCCTTGTAAACGTAGCGGTTTTTCAAAAAACCGATTATTGATGACAGACCAATATGACGCCAAGTTCTGATATTGACCTTTGACCTTCAGGGCGCACTGCATCCGGAAGGGCTGCCCTGCGCGAATTTGCATGCGCTTTGGAGGAGCTTTCAACAGTTCTACTTCCGGAAATATAATTTCACTTTTGTTTGGTGAAATTTCTGTGTTAAATCTGATCGTCCAGTAGTAGTTTTTGTTGGGTATTTTTGCATATATAATATCGCCGGTTTTATACTTGAGATGATGAGGCTTAAGCACTGGTATGGACAGCTGAAGTGACCCCGTGCCGTTGGCGAAACTGTCCGTGACGTGCAGGTCAGGATCGGCTGAAAAAGAAAGTAACATATAATCGCACCATTAGCGTCACTGTCAGACATGTTCCATCCATACCTAGCCGTATATAAAGCATTGTGCTAAAGTCTGCTAAGAAAATGTAATGATGACTAATTGAATAAGCCTTTAAGTAAGTTCTCGGAATAGTAAGAACAAAAATCTAGAACTCTAAAAGCAGGTGTAAATATTTACATTTTCTTAACAATTTTGGATAAGAAATATCTTGGTGATTTAGAAAAAAAAATGTTGAAATTCCTGAGGAGAATTAAAATGCCTGGTTTATAAAGACCTAAAGCGCCTCTAACACCAAGATTGCGACTGCTGGGAGAACGGATTTTTGCCCACTCGAAAATGTCTAAAACTCATGTTATGGATTTAAATCTCACCTTGAGCTTGTATGAAATTTTCACTCGCCACCTTCACCATGAAGTGAAGATCTGGATGTCGCGTGGCCATGTACCTGAACGTCAGATTGGCGGACCCCCCTAACACCCTCTCCCCAGTAATATCTATCTTTAAGGGCCTAAACTCTACAGCCTGAAAGATAAGCATATTGAATTACTGAAAAGCTGAACAGAAAAATAAAAAAAATGAATGTGTAGACCAAACGACATTAGCGGATTAGATAAAATGTCGAGTTTTCGCAATTCACGTTTTTTAAACTTTCAGCTACTTTTTCAGAATATCTCTCAAGTCAACACAACTATTATTACAGTTGTAGGTCGGTTAGGACCAGTGCAAGGTTTCTACCATTTTGGTTTCGTACAAACCTCAGTGCAGACGACCACCCAAACCAGGAAAAAGTACCCCACCGTTGCCATCTTGAGTGACCGTTGAACGAATAAACTCAAAATCAAACCGTGCCCTCGAAAAATTAAATGTCCTATTGGACATGATTGGTACATAAATTAAGTCTGATTGAAAAATTATTTGTGAATTAGTCTGAGGCCGCATCAAACGCCGTTTTCATTCAAACCGTTTCATTCTAACTTCAGGAAACAGTTGGTTCATAATAATCTAGCAGGTAGGCCATGCTGAAGAACCCAGGCAATCCCCATAGGAAAACCCGCCGTTGGTGTCGTGTTTTATAGCAGAGGGCGCTGCTAAACCCCGCAAACTGCCCTCTAGTTGGAGTGAGTCTGAATACAGTTTTGGTCAAAACGGTCCTGAACGCTGCCTTAGATATAGTTGAGTAATTTCCGTGAGTACTGCATTGATAACTGGTCCGTATGGAAAGCTCTGTAGATAGCGCGTTCACAATCAAGGCCTGGGGGTCACCTAAGTGAAACGTGATTAAGTCGATGGGCAGTTGGCTTAGGCTTGACGTTTAAAAGATTAATATTAAATTTTATTTGTTAGGGGTTTGACCCGTCAAAAGTTCGCCCAGGTTCTTGTGATGGTTTCAATAAATATAACTTGTTTATTTATTAAATACTTATTGCAAACCTAAAATCACAGCTAAAATATAAATGTGGCAGAAAAATAGGCTGCAGAATTTTCACGTATTATTACAACCTTCCTATGGTTTTTAGGTGAACTATCATTTGATGCGAATTAAATCAACTGACACCTCGGTATTATCAGCAAAAGTCACAAACATTTCAGCTAGGATATAGTATGTATAAAATGTGATTTTGTGTCACCGCTAACACAATCGAAGGCCGAGAAGTGCCACGTACGTTGTAACACATTGGAGTGATTTCTGTTACCTCGATTCAAGCGAAATAGCTTTGGCTTACAGTGATACTCTGTGCACACCGTTTTCAATTTTGTCTCAAAATAAGAGAAATAGAATATCAATAATTATATGAGGCGCCCCTAGATAATGGGCTAATGATGTTGATATAGCCCTTCCCTTTGCTTGAACGACTGCTCCCCTTCACCCCTCCCTTCTCTAAATAGCCACCGGCATATTGGTCATGTATTAACTCACGATACAGACGCTGATCAAAGATGACGTAAAAACTTTTCATGAATTTCTAATTTTTCAAGTGATGAAATAAGTTGATTATCAAAAAGATGATAAAGAAGAGATGCACAAAGACCCCCCCCCCCCCCAATGCGATGGAAGCTTGCCGCTTTCACAGAATTAACTACTTAGCGTTTCTTTTTACAATGACTAATTTTACTGGTTACACGCTATGGTTTTTGAGTCTTAATTGTTTGCGGTGTTTTCACTTCGTCTAGGTTACAGAAAAGCACTTAGAAATTACGTCACGTCGAACGTAGGATTGACGGCGTAAGCACTGTCACGGGGTAACATAAAGTTTAAAATGAAAATTTTTGAATTAGAAAATGCCTCTTCGATATACCGTGTACTATCTAACCCTATGCACTGTATCGTGCACCGGATGATCGGCTTTGAATTTAACTTGTGAAGTCATGTTTCATTTTTGAAGCGTGACAATTAGTTATGGAAATTTGGACATTGATACCTAAGCAAAAACAATGACCTGCCTCCTGCATCACATTATACATAATAAGGTAAAGATATTAGCTGCATGTCGTAACATTATCGAAAAGAGACGCTGGTTGACGAAAGTGGGAGAAGTTTGTGTCACAAAGGGGTTAAAACTGAACATAATTCTGCACTAAAATGGACCAAGCTTTTTTCTATTATAATAGCCACAATTTGTCACATCGTAAAACTTTAACAAGGCACCCTTTTCATGAAAATCTTCTGAGAGTCCTAAGAGCAATGATTAATCTTTTGATATTCTTTCCCTAATGTTAAAAAAATCAATCATCTGGCCATGTGCCTTTTGGATGCGGAACACTGCATTTGAAATCAGCTCCCTGGTGAACCGCTTTCAACTGACTTGGCTTAGTTTTGACATCTGTGGCGCTAAACGAAAAAAAAAAAGAAAGAAAGAAAACAAGCCCAATCGGATGGAGCGTGAAAGTGAGTAATACAAAAGCACACAAAAAAGTTATAGAGATGAAAATTAGGAAGAGCAGATAATGAGCATATCATAGGTTAAACAGGTAGATTTATTTAGATATTAATTGGTGATAATAAGCAACATTTAACAATACGAACTATATTCGGATGTGCAATTAGTCGACGTGTAGATGCATATGAAGTTGAAATTACTTCTAATTTTCCGCGCTTGGTCACAATCCATTAGGGGGATACTTTTGAGGTATAGTGTAACACGCAGATGTACTTGATTTAACTTTCACCTGTTTTTGGAGAATAAAACGCTTTGATCTATTACAATTAAAATATTAAATCAATTAAAGGATACTGTAAAAGTATTTTTTAGATAACACGACATGAATTTTAATTAAAATTAAAATGTCTAATGGAACACAATTCAGGAAAATATAATTTAAGACTAAAAATTATAACAGAAAATAACGTATGGGATATTTTTTACTGAATTAATATTTATCCCTGAATATATTATCTATCACAAGGCGTTGGAAAAATAACAAATTCAACAAAGTAGTCACATCCACTTTTTGTTACTTGGTTTCAAGTTCCTCTCTTTTTTTGATGTGCGAGGTTGTTTTTTGATAGACCGTCTGTTAAAACTGTTAAAACTAGTTTTGAGTTTCTTTTGGCTTAAATCAGATAATTTTCTGATCTATTATAGTTTGTTATAGTTTGTTACAAACAGTAACTATTGATTATCATAATTATTATTATTATTACTTTACCCTAATAATGAACATAGGAAAAAGGAACACCAAAACTGGGCACAGAAGTATAACTCCTTTTGCACATTATGTTTCTATGAATGCCATTTATTTATTCATTTCTTTCGCTGCCTTTACATAATATATGTATATATTTGCATTAGTATATAATTACAAAAATAACAAAACAAGGATTTCATATTTTTACCAAATGATGACTAAAATATTGCAAATGCATAGACAGTTTTGAGGTTATGAAAGAAGCACCAGGAACTTTCACCCAACACATTGTTTTCGATTCTGTACAAGTGGCAACAATGCTTTCACATAATGGGTTTCTTTAACTTACAGATGTTTACCGCTGCCTTTTTGCCCTAGATATTGTTCAATCCTGCATTGATACGACCTTTTCTTCAACTTATGGCGTGTATAATTGCTCGATGTTAGTTGCCCTTTTCCACTGGTCTGGCTAGCAAGAATGCTTTTACTTACTGAGTAAAAATACCTTAAAATACTCACAGTTTAATATAATTTCGAACGGACTTAACTGTAGCGAAGCGTTTTGTTCATTACATGCTGTTCATCTCTGGTTGCTTCAAAAGAACCAGTTTTTCCTTGGTTCTGAGGTATACGCACAGTAAAGATAAGGTACTATGCAAGGCGTGTAAAACAGCCTCGTCGTAAAAGCTGGCACGTGTAACGTCAAACTTTTCAGCAGCAAAGCGCGTAAGAAGGCGCATGGGTTGTCACATTTTTTATTGCTGTACTGTAGTGGGGTGTAAAAAGCACGGCGTTTTTTTCTTGTACCGAGGTCTTTCTCTGCTTTATACTTTAGGGTGAATACACACAGTGCTGCTGTAATTTTCCCAACTGTTCCAAACTTCATGAAAACTTGGCACAATGCTCGTTGCTGTCCTGTAATTAGATCGTATGAAGTTAACTAGAAGACAAGAGTTCACTGTTGTTCTTTACTGAAAGGACTCCTCTGTATAGGCGCGTGTTGGTCATCATAAGGCGCCCCCTGGCTGCCTTGGCTGGCCGTGGGTGAGATCTGACCATGCGTCGTTATTGAGTCTCCTACAGACGAAGGGAGGGAATCCACGGGCTTTAACTGACCGGTCACTTTGTCCTTGACCATCTGCGTTCCTTTGACCCGCTTCCACTTCATACGGCGGTTCTGAAACCACACTTTAACCTGAAACGAAAGTGAAACTGAAGTTGCTATTCAATGATCAAATGTATATCGATTTTGTCTTCTTGATATCATTATCAATTAAAATTTGTAATAAACTTTCTTTAAAAAAATGCCCTTAATATCTAACGCTATTAAATTGAGTATATAATGTTGTTACTGGGTCGAATTTTGTTATTATTATTTCCGAGAACACTTTTTCCTTAAAAAGAAAAAAAAACAAGTACTAAAATGTCAGTTTTGCATACAGAGGAACATACTTTCAATGTTTTTCGTAATTTGTTACAGCTAAATTGCACGACATCTTTTCGTGTTTGTCAAGAAACATTTTACTTATACAGAGCATGATGCGTATCTATTTCAAGACACGAGGACCATATTTCACTTTACGCATTTCACCTTAAATATGACGATATATATGACGGATGGTTCTAGTGTTATCCATTATTTTGTTTTTGTATTGATTTTACATTTTCCTTTTTTTCTGGTGTTAGTAAAAGGATAATTTGACTACTACTGCACTTGATAGGCTGTTGACAAAAGGTAAATAATATTTTTCCCAATACAGTGAGGCCGTTTATAGTCCTACATTTTATTTTTCTTTCTTGTTTCTTTTGAAAACAAACGTATGAATCAAGTAACCCCTCCCCCCAAATAAATCCGATCATAATAAATCACATCTACATGCAATACAACAGATTTAACAGGCTCATTTACGGACAAATAACTGTGGATAGTAGATAACCAGTGGGATATGTCTTTCTTCTGCAAAAAAGGTGAAAAAATCCAGCAGACAAAGAGAATATCTTAAGAACTTCCTTATTTTGAAAAACTCCACAGTGGCGAACAAAAATAAAATAAAACAGCACTCGTGGATTATTAAATGCCATTAAACACTTGGACTATAAATTTAATTCTTGAACGACGCGTAGAAACAAATCGCCGACCATTTTATCAAATAACAAGGCTCCTTGCGTGCTCGTGGCGGCTTATTGGGATGAAGACATCATATTTAATCTCCTGTTCGTTCCTGGTTTTCTACTTGCCCCAGTCACCTCTGTGCTCTTAATGTAGATTTGATGGGCTATCTGAACTATAAGTGCCGACTAACCTGCCTCCTGATGGGCATTCGGAGGCTAAAAAGCCGAGAAATCTGGCACCGAATAAACTATTTTTATACGGGGGAGAGCATTAGATGAGTTATATACTCACGCACACGAGGGGAGGAGCAAAAGTACGGCACCACTGGAGAGAAAAAACAACCCCATGAACCTTCAAAAGCCAATTCCATGTTTGCTTTTGAAATTTTAACATTTGGAAAATAGGACTCGTTTATACACCCTGCAATCACATGAAAAAGTTCTGAAAAGGGCAGTTTATATCTCGTTCCCATTTTCATCAAATAAAATTCTTCACTGAATAATTGTGTATAAAAATAATCCCAGCATTACGAGATGCCAGCAAGTCATAGTTAGATTGATATTTGTGCCGGCGTAGTTTGATACAGATATTTTACAGATGAGCTTCAGAGAAAAAGAACCCCCCAAAAATGCATGACATGAAAATGCGAAGTGAAAATAGCGGAATATTTAAAAATTGAGTAAAAATACCTCTACACTTTTTAAAATAAAATATTACCCTTTATCTAATTTATATTCTTAAAAAGCCGCCGCAAGATGGCACGAGATTTCAGCTGTTAAAAACTGCCTTTTTGCCCAGTGAATCTATTTGTAAGGTGAAAAAAGTTATATTTGAATGACCGATAAGTGTGAAAATATATATATATTTTTTATGAAAAGATTTTCGCTCAAAAATAACTACATGTATACCCTAAATGCAACTGCACACGGTGATTCTTAAAAATTCAACAACTTTAAACCACGGTGCGTATATTTCAACTACATACATGTGCCATAATAAACACCAACAAACATCTCGTAAAACATATTAATGAAACAACTTTGCTAAAAAAACTTATAAGTCGTTATTTTACATGCGCTGAATATGTTTCGCATCTCTACATCCCAGCAGGCAATCAATAGACGTCAATATTCTTTTATTTTTATACCACGTAGTTCGTCTGGTATCAACGTCGACAAGAACTATTTTCTGGAATTCACAAGGCTCGCGGAAGAAAGAAAGAAAGAAAGAAAGAAAGAGAGAGAGAGTTAATTTAGGCAAATGACAATGAAAGTGATCTGCAAATAAGCGGGAACTACGTAACTATATTTATCTTTTTCATTTTGATAAAAGGCTTGTTCTTTTTCCATGCCAGCGCTTTTTGAATCTGTAAACAATTTCTACTATCTTTTAAACCTTTATCATATATCAGTCTTATGATATCTACTCTTGTATCATAACCGCAACTCCTCACCCCCAATAAAAATTTGACAGTTCTTCTGAATAAGTAGATCCTACTTTTTATATTATTTACATAAGTCTAACTCGGCGCACACTGCAGAGTTTTTCTTTAAAGGAAAACGAAAGGTTTACTAATGTGTTACATGTATTATGGGGTTTGTGCATATTTTTGGACAACAAATAGACACTTTTGAAAAATGTATGTTTGAAAGTGCTCCTTAGCCTTTTCAGTGTTTTTGGCGGTCCTTTAATTATCTTTATAATTTCCATTTTTTAAAATAAATCCTTTGATTCCAGTTTGTTTAGCTTTTCTTTAGTTCGACCTGCTTAAACCGACAATCCTATATCTAACTTTGCCAATTTTTTAATTCTTAAAAAGATTATGCCTTTTGTTTCTTATTGATATTAAATAAATGACATAATTATAAATAACAGTGAGTGGCTGCTACATATGTAAATCAAATGGAATCCATCATAAAAACGAATCGCAGTATTCAGCGTACTGTTTGTATATTTGATAACTTCAAACATTCAACATAACATGATTTTGATAACAAAATAATACCGTGGCATGAAGTTTACCTTTAAGTATCGTTCTTTTTTAACTTTCATGTATCCTAAGATACTGTTTGTCAAAAAGTCGGTCTTGAAGAAAAAAACGTTGGCGCTTCTTTTCGAGCATCAGCAGTGACGTCAAAAGGGATTTTGTTTTCGTTTTCAATATATGACCGTGACGTAGCCTTATTTTTGAACTCTCTGAACTGTGTCGAACTGCACGATTTTAATATATACAAATACTTATAAGTTTGCTGCTTAGAATTAAAGTGTTTTATTCTTTAAAATTAGAAAACTTTTCATTATTCAATAAATACATATTTCACAGAACATCGAAAATAAAAAATGACAAACACAAAAACACACTCAGGCTTTGATCAACAACGATTAAAACATTAAATTAAACGAATATAAAACATTATATTAAAGGCATAGTGCGGACTGATTAACCGTATTTATTTAATTGTCTTGTTGGTTCTTTGCTGTCACACATGCCAAGCTGCTGAATACAGTGTACGTTCTTTTAACCAAACACTATTTAAGAGCCCGTATTATATTTTATTCAATGCTCTTCACGTATTTTTAATGTGTTACATTATGTTAACATACATATTTGAAATATCAAAACATTCTTTCATTTAAAGGAAAACAACGGAGCACTTCAAAATAAGAGTCCGATAAAAACTGAACTATTTGTAGGATAGACAGATAATTTTAATAAGTCGTAAACAACCCTAACCGTTGCAATATGTTATGCGCGCGACACTATTTTCTGTGTTTGAATAAGGGCATGTAATTGAGGCGATTTTGTAATTCAAACTACATTAATGAAAAATAACAACAATGCCGATAGAATCCTTTCATTTTACGATTTAAGGTGTATAAAACGGTTGAGCCTATACGTAAAAGAAGTAGATACCAAGCGATAGTTTGTTTTTTATTAACTCGGGCGGTTCTACCACATCAAGTGACCCGAACTATTTCTGAACATTGTCAGTCAAAATGGACTGAGTAATTGAATTAATAATTTTTCTGCAGTCATCTTAGTCTGTGACCCATTAATTAAAAAACCCACGTTTTCTCTGATAAAAAAGCACAAAACAAAAAACATCGAGTTTTTAGGCATCACGCGGCAACGTAAAAAAACCACCACCACCGCCACTAACAACAAAGTCCCATCATTTTTTGTGTGAATTACGATACCATTTTTAATTTCATTTTATTCCTCCACCCAACGCGGCACCCTGACCTAGCATGCACCAGTTTCTTTGATGCCAGCTTTGAGGTGCGCAGCTCGGCCTGTCTCGTGGTGAAATGTGCCGGGCGAGTTAAAGCATAATCAACAATCTTAACGACTTCCTTATGATGTTACCATAGGCACCGAGGCTTACTGATGGATGGCCCGTAACTGCCTTAACAGCTGTGCGCCAGATGTGTTTCTGTTTTAATGAGAAGAGCAAGACGGCGATGCAGAGGGGGCTGCGTGCCTCGGGAGCAGCGAGGTGGAGGCTCGGTATGCTATTACGACACTCGATAGCGCTATTACGACATTCGATAGCCCATTATCGGTAGAATCTGCCGTCTGTTCTTGTCCTCTCCCCCCGCCTTCTCGGGTGTGGCTCATCGGCGTGTGTTATTTTACTAAGGCATATAAACTAAAAATCACATTTTTTAATTTCGGATTTTTTAAGTGCTTGCGAACGAAATTAACCCTCCCCTTTGCTGAGAGAACAAATCACTTACAGGAGGCACTGCAAGCAAAAAAAAAAAAAAAAAATTACTCCAAGGATATTTTTCACGTTGTTTGAAGAATTGAAATAATGCATCATTCGTCAACCCGTAATACCAATGATGATGACGGCAATGATGATGATGATGATGATGATGATGATGATAACAAGCACGATTATCAGATCGCTGATCGACGGAGCTTTCACGCTGGCGATAGATTTGTAATGTGTAATTTGTAATCCGAGGCGCATAATGCATTCTCAGAGACGCAAGGCAAAACATAGATCACTAGAAGTGAAGGAGTTTCCTTTTGCAGGACTTGTCAACCCCCATTTTTTCCGTTTATGCCTTTTTTC